TCTCTAGTCCTCTAACCCACTTATAATAGCCTAGCAAATAAGGTCCTACACTCTAAGTACCCCAAAATATAAGGGTAAAATAGGAAATATAAATAAAATAAATCCTATCATCTAGGATACCCAAAATATAAGGGTAAAATAGGAAATAAAATAAAAGACAAAAATTCCTATGCTAATATTATCAAGACTTAGGAGATGAACAATACTCTACACTCATGATGAGCATGGCTCTAGGCATGGTAGCTCTTCTATCATCCTCCACTCTCGGTTCTAGTGATGGGTCGCACATGTAGCTCCAAGGATGATCCTCCATCAGTAGTCTGATAAGATGGTAAAAAAAGTTTATTGTTTGGTTTTTGTTAAAGATAGTTATGAAGTTATGGAAACTTTCATTGCATGATTTGCAAGAGGTTCATTGACAAACATTTATTGCTGACATATTTTTAAACCTATTGCCTGCACCATGGACTGATGTAGCATTTTCACATGTAGCTACTCTACTTCTAGTTACAAAGGTATTATTGATGTTCCATAAAATGTTTAGTGAAAGATAATTCTTTCTCACTAGAATTCCTTTGAAAATCAATCCCTCTTCACAAGAAGGAAATATTATAGTGTAAGACATTTTAGTTGGCCCCTACACCTTCAAGGTATTTCTTGAGTCTTTTGAGTTTAATTTTTACGCACCTTGTGATTACAAAAACATAATATTAAATACACACTAGTAATGCAACAACTTATTAGATTTTACAATTTATATTGATTCCATACTTTTCCATTCTTATCATATGAATATGAATAATATAATTAGACTAAAATTTTTTCCTTTATTTTTTCTCTTCAAAAATGGTTTCATCCATTTCATTCTTTTTGGCTTTGATTCTGAATATTACCTTCCTTTATTGTTCACTCCTCTATCACCTGAACTTTGCAAGATTCAAAGGCAGAATGATTTTTCAAAAGATAGTAAATTAACCAAAAGACAAAAGGTTGAAGTTGGTTACTTGCACAAGGTATGCTAAAGTTTATGATCATTCATTATAAAATTTTGAATTCATAACTTTAATTAGCTCAATAGAATTTTTTTATTCATCACATGTTGCTAGTTTGAAACATTACATTAGTTAATAAATCATTTTGAAATGGATAAGGTTTTTAAATGAATCATTATGGATTAATCTAGTGTGTAATAATAAAGTGGTTATCTAATTGGAAGACAAAATTAGGTATAGGAACTATTAAACTAGTCATTATGTGCAAGCTTAATTTATCTAAATTATAGCGATTATAAGTTACTGATGGAAGACCATGGGCCAAGGGCCCAATTACTCGAGCTATGACTAGGAGCATACAGGAAGGATTAGCTAGCTTGAAGGTTAGTGGGCTTTCTAGGCCCAAGCTACTCTCCATGTGGGCCATCACATCTTGAGAAGTGGCCTAACTCTTTTGTACATAGTAGTTTCTTGTATAGGTTTCATTTTGCCTTTGTATTTGTGAGACACTTTCTTTCTTTTATTATAGGATATTCCTTTAAGTATTTAGGGTATGTTACTTTGAGATTTTTTCTCCATTTGACCTTATATTAAGGGTAATTTATTTTCATATTTTTAATAGTAGAAGTGGGGTGACAAATAGTAAGGTATGTAGGTGTAACTAGCAATTGGGCTAGAAGTGGGCCTAGGCTAAATTTTACACATTGGGCTTGTTTTCCTACATTTTTTTTCTAAGGAATTGATTTAGCTAGGTCTCACCATCATTTGGGGTGAACCTTACTAAACCAATTCCAAGATTTTTGGATTAGAAAAGTGAAGGAAAGCACCAAGGCTGCCTAGCTCACTTCTGGCCGAATTGCATAGCTTCTTCTATACACTTGGGAAGCTTGTGCTACAAGCTTCTAAGTTAGAAGCTTGCTTCCCAAGATTCTAAGTTAGAAGCTTGCTCCACAAGCCTCATAAACTAAATAGGCCGGTCAAGCTTGACTAACCATGGTTCTCCTTGAACCATAGTTAGTCTAGCTTGCACCACAAGTTTTCCTCCACTATATAAGTCTTTTCATTGACTTTGTAATCACTTTTGACATATATGAGATCATAATTTTCAGAAATTCTCTCTACTTTCAAAGGTATAAACCTAGGAGAAAACCTTCTCCTTAAGAACCTTCACAAAGGATTCCTTCCTTTTGTGCCTTGCTTCCAAATTTCTTTTTCTTCTTCAAGAAGATTTCCACACCATTTTTGTTGCTTCCTTCAAACTCTTGTAGTTTGAACATTGTTCCATGAAGCTTAAAGCCTTAAGAGAAGATTGGACAATGAAGACGGAGCTAGGAGGAAAACGCCAATCTCTTCTCCAAGTTTCTTCCATCAGTTACAACATTTGAATATCTATAATATGGTAATTTCCCTTGCAAGTTGTGATTATGTTATATGGTAATAATACGTGTCCTTTTAAATAATATGACCTCTTTCACCTTCAACTACTAAATTTATGTTTGATGATTTCTAGCCAGAAAACAAATTTGATTTTTAGGGCCACTATAATTTAACCCTAAGTAGAGTTTTTAATATGGTTTTCCTCCATCGTTTCCTCTTAATATTAGTGGAAATTGATCTTGGTTATATTGAACTACAAACACATTTCCATTTGATACTATCATGCCTGAGTCTTTGTCAAGGGTATTTAGTCCTACCTTAATGGTAGGCATTAATTAAAATTTTGAAGTCAGGAATGGCTTAGGGATTTTTTTTTGTAAGTTGAAAACATAGCATGACCTTAGACAGTAATAGTGCAATTCTCAATTTTCCATTTTTTGGTTTAGAGAATAAAAATTCTCATGTGTTGATGATGGTTTGGAAGGTGTACACGTGTTGACAATGTTTACTTGTAAGGATTAAAAGGCTTTGTGACAAAGGAATTTTGAGATGAAACTTGCCTTCATTTTTTTTATTTTACCTTATTCTAATATTTCACATCACTAACCTCTCTCTACTGACCACTACCTTGTGGCATTTCCTTATCCAATGTTTATAGCGAAGCTGGATTCAAGGTGACATTATTTGTAGAGAAAATAAAATTGCCCATTATTCTATGCAAATTTTCACACACATAAACACACACAGACATACACATAGTGTAATGTCCCTTTGATTTGATGTCTTAATGGCTGCACTCCATAACATTTCACATAGTAACACTTCACATAACTTCTTGTTGGTAAAAACCCTTCACCGATCAAAACCTTCTACAGGTAGCCCTTTCTAAAACGCTCAACTTCTTTTAAGATTAACAATTGTTCCCACAAGCCTATAGAAGATTTTTTTGACATGTTTTATCCTCACTCACTTTCTAGGAAATTTCTCTAAAGGTTACCCATCCCTAAATTGATCAATGTCAAGTATGTTTAGCTATAAAGTTCTTAAGTGATGGGTTACTGAAAAGTAGATGTATCTTGCTGGTATAAATATTACTAATTAATTCATTTAACTCATTTTTGACAATATAGTCTCACATTAATACAACTTCTAGATCTTTCACATTCTAGTGTGCCTGGGATGTTACACACAATAATTTGAGCATATAATTTTCATCCTAATAAATAATATTACTTGACTATAAATACATAAGAATGTTTATAGATGGGGATCAAGTAACTATAAGAGTTATTTAGTAGAGTAACTCTTAATTCTACTAAAAGTTACTATTTGAGTAATTTGATCCTTACGTACATACACTCACACACACATTTATAAAGGAGTAAAGTATCAGTTTGGTCTTCGACTTTATGGGGCATTATCATAATAGTCCTTGTGTTAAGAAAAATGAAACTTTAATCCTTAACTTTTATTTTCGTCACACAAATTGATCCCTACCATGATGGAAATGTTAACTCTTTTTGTCAAGTTACTACTTAACATGTTATGTATCGCATAACCAATGATGTAGTTTGTCACTTAAATGTAAAATCACTTCTAACTTAGTAGGGATATTAATGGAAAAAATTTATCTCATTTTTAGGATCAATAATATTGAATTAGGGAGGTGAAAAGTTAGTTATTTTTTTTCCTTTTTAACCTAGGCCTTTGAGAATTGAAGACCTTTCATATCTTTGTACCGGTCATTCACGTCTTTTTCCCTTGAATTTGAATCATTAATTTTTTTTTTATTGTTACTAAGTTGAGCATGTGGGTTGTTAAATGTTCCCTAGGGTGTTAGTAATTTTTTTCACCGAAGAAAAGATATGTATGTTGAACACATTATTCAATACATTTTTTCCTGTAGGTTTCATTTTCATCTTCATTGAAATCATTGAAGTTTTATGCTTAATTACCTTAATGTTCTTCACTACTTGTTTAATGATTGATTTTTTTTAGAGAACATGAATAATTTTATATTTTTATTGAAATAGCTTAAATGTGGGTGTTTTGTAGCAATTTTATTTGGTGATTCTTGTTAGGTTGTTGCATTCTTACTATGTTATTTGACTGGTGATGAAGAGGAAGTTTGATTAACTGGTGAAGGGAGGAACAATATGGTTAGGGCTTGTGGTTAGGAAACAGATCCATTAGTTGATGATGGGAGCAACAACTTGCCTCATGTTAATGATGAGTAGCAAGTACCATTAGTTAGTGATGACAAGTGTGACACTCTCTACCTCGTATGCATAATACAATAATTATAAAAAGAAAATATCATACTTGAATGATTTCAAACAAAGATAAAGAGTATCACATTCGAAATTTTAATAAAACTAAATCAATGCCTAACTATTACAACTTTTACTGCTAGAAAAGTACTATTTAACATCACTATATTTACATCAGTTTTAATAAAAATGATATAAATGAAAAATACAGTAACAATTTTGTAAATAAATAAAATATGTAAATATATTTACACCGGGTTTATGGAGAAACGATATAGATATAAAAAATTATACATCGATTTTGTGATTGACCAATATAAAAGCGAAATGATAAAGTTATTTTACATCGGTTTTAATTTTGATCAATGAAGTGAAGGCCAAATCTCCGAAGTGACAAACCCTCTCGACATCTCAACACTCTCGGACGTGCGCTCTTCTCTTGTGCGCGGACGGGAGCTCTCGTGGGCACTCTTTTCTTCCGACCTTTGACAACCATAAGGAGCTCTCCCTCTAGACATCTCAACACTCTCGCGGGCACTCTCCTATTGCTGACCTTCAACAACCCCGGAGGAGTGTGCTAGAAATGTGGTGGTGCTCCAAATCCACAAACGCTACCAAAGGAGGTTTCCTGAAACGTGGTGGTGCTCGTGCGAGTTCGCCGCCGAAGAGAAGACTAGAAGATTCGTAAGTTTACTTGAAAACTATTTTGGAATTTTTCAAAGCTTGCTATAGTGTGTGATATATTTTGTTTAGGGTTCAGGGTTGAACAGACCCACCATCCAAGCCTTGCCGGTGACACACCTTCGATTCCCGCCGCCAAAAAGCTTCTGACTTTGGATGATGCAGAAGTAGATACTGTCAACACGATTTATGGGTCTGATAAGGTGGTGGTGATGATTACCAATTTAGAGCCTTTCTTTGTGAGAACATTCACCGTGCTTTCTCTTTCTCACCATTGCTTCGGCTTGCTTGAGATTCAACCTTTTTATACTATTACAGACTACCTTTGATGCCCCAACTAGAGTTGCACCACTGACTTTAGACATGGCCAGTATGGGAAAAGGTAAACTGTGGATAAATGGACAAAGATTGGGCCGCTATTGGCCTACTTACAAAGCATCTGGTTCTTGTGGTTACTGTAACTATGCAAGAACATATAACGAAAAGAAATGTGCAAGTAACTGTGGCAAGGCTTCTCAAAGATCGTGAGAATATCTAGCTTATTCTGTAGTTCTATTCAACGTTTGTTAATTGAATTATTTATTATATATTATTAAGGTGAAGTTCTAATTTTGGTAGGATAATGATATGTATTAGATGTAACTTTTATCCTTACTTTATAGTAGTTTATAATTTGGCCGAGAAATGCATCCAGTTGAAACCACAATCTAGTACACATAGGTTGGCAAGACTTATGATTGGAATTCTTGAAGAAAATACTGAGGTGATTATTGGACTATTGCTGTCAAAGATTTAGGTCTATTTTTTTTCCTAATATTCTATTATTTGATTCAATTTTTCCCTTCACATTTTAAACTTGGATAAGCATTGTGCAATGTCTCAGGTTGTTTTAGCAGATGTTCCAAAGAATTTGGCCCTTAGTGAGAGCTGTTTTCTCTTCTATTGTTAACTGATTCAAAGTAAGCTTACAATCAAAATTCTCAAAACCTATTTTGCATTGATTTTTTAATTTAGTGTAGTTTTGATTATAATGGGTTTGGGGGGAATCAGCATAGTGGAGATACATCAGGTTACATATGCTCAAATTCTGTCATCACATGCATTGACCTAGCAAGTGAGTGCTAGTTACTTAAGCAAAAATATCCTATTAATCTGATGTCAAATTGATGAATAATGTTTGATTAAGGCACATCAAAAATTGCTATTTCGCATATACAGATGCCTTTGATTTTGACATATCGTTGAAAAACCAAGAGTAAGGATGAAATTGATGTCTTGTAAATAGAATTTAGCATTACCGAGCCAATGCCAAATGAAAGTTAATTTATGAGATTACAGTTTGATCAACAGGACAATAATTTGTTTGGTGCTCCTATGGTCTAATGTTCACACATCTGCAGATAACTCCAATATATTTAAAATCATGCATGAAGCAGGGAATGTGCTTGTTAGAAAATTTATTTTACAGGAAATCTATTCAACAAAATGATGTGTTGCTTAAGGTAACTGTTTTTGTGTACTATTTGTTATTATCTATTTAACAAGTCATTTCCTCATGGTTTAATATGTTTTTGATATGCTTGCACTAACAGGAAAATAATTGTTACTCATGCAAAATATTGAGATATGCCGTTTGTATGAGCTTGATCATATCAGTTCAAATATTATAAAGGTAACCTGCATCTTTTGATTGCGTGCCTGGCCTGGTGATGGAGGAGGCCCATGGGCTAAGGGCCCAACTACTAGGGCTATGACAAGAAGGATGCATGAAGAGTGGGCCCAAGCCCAAGAAAGGCCCATCACTTTATTTTGTTGGGCTTTGTCTCAAGCCCATTAGATTATGGTTAGTATAGGATTAGGCCTTGGTGCCTTGTATTTCTTTTTGGGCCTTGTATTTTCGGCCACTTAGGTTAGGCATTTTCATTTGAAGGTCATTTGAAATTAGGGTTAATTAAGGTTGCATGTGAATTGTCATTAGAATGTAATTAGCTTTGCATTTGATATGCATTTCGGCCATGTGCACACATGCACATGGTGTGACCGAAATGCAACTCAAATGGAAGGCAAATCACATTCCAAATGAGGTGCACATGGGAGGTTCCGGGTTTGGCTCCCAAAATTTGAATTTTGAATTCAAATTTTGGGCGCCTAAGGTTAAGTAACCATACCATGGTTTCACTTAACCTTAGGCTAACCCATGGTTCACTTTGACCTAATTTACCCTATATATTCTATATGGCCGAGACTTGTAGCTACTTTTGGATTAATTGAATGAGATTTCTCTTCTTAGAATTCTCCCTTCCGAAAGTCACCTTTTCCTAAAACTCTACCCTACTTGAGATCCTCTCCTTGTAGAGTTAGGAAACTTACTCTTCTCCGGACTTGGCTAGAAGCAATCATAGGTCACATTGAAGCTACTTGGAGTCTTCTTCCTTGTTGATCTTCTAAGGAATTCCGAGAAGCTTGAAGTGTTCATGAGAATTCCAAGTGGAATCTCATCACCTGGGGATTAGAAAATATTATATTGTTCTTTCATACTACAATATACTTTTGATTGTGTGCCTGGCCTGGGGATTGGAAAATATTATACTGTTCTTTCATACTATAGTATACTAGAACTAACCTGCACAAGAAATATATAGATTGCTGGAGTATATCATTGGAAACATGACCATAAGGTGTCGGAGTATTTTGGCTTCAACAAGCCCAAGACAGAAGTTGTCTAGATAGTATTGCCCAACAGTTATTTGATTTTGTTGGAAAGCCAATATCCAATGAAAGCTTCAAGGTAGTTCTTGTAATACTCCAATAATAAGCAACACATTGAAAGATTTTTCATATATATTAGTTTATTCCTATTTATGAACATTTCTTTTCTTGATTATTATTTAGATTTCTAACTTCATCCATTCTTTTATAGCAATGGGAAGGCATGATTGAACTATTGGGCTCCGAATCTAACCTTGTTGGAGGTCTTGAATTTTTGCACAAGTATAAATGATTGAATATTGGATACTTCACAAATTCATATTATAATATTTCACAAATTCATAAGTAACTTTGATTAATCATATACTTTAATAATATTGCACAAGTATAAAAAAAGAATAATAAGTTTAAAGGCATGATTGAATTTTTTATAAAGGTCTTTAATATATTGACATTTTCTTAGCGACCTTGTACTTAAATATATTGTTATTTCAATTATTAATAAAATTCGTAACTAAACTAATTTTTAATTCATATTAATTGATTAATCTTTTAATTTCCTAACAGGAAAATTGCATCTAAAGATTTACATGCATGGTTTATTTACTAATCAAATCATGACAAAATTAAATTCTAATTTTGTGATATTTCGTCAATACAACTAGTGATAAGTATATCTTTATCACATGTAGCTAATCTTTAATTACCTAATTTTATATCTTGTAGAACAAAATCATATCTAAAATTTAAGAGATTGTTGTACATTGTATACAGTTGTGTTATATAACTAGTCTTTTTATTTGTTTGGGTTCTTTTTAGGGTGTTTATGTTATATGATCTGTTTGGCAAAATCTTGTTATTGTTGTGACAATTCGAATGATAGAATATAGAAGCCCTTTCCCTTGGTATATTGTATTTGAAATTTATTATCATAATTAGTAATTAACAATCCTGGGTAGTGGTGTAGAGCGATCAATTCCAAAAAAGTTATTGTGAGATGGATGCTCAATACCAAGATTATATAACAAAATACAGGTAATCAGAAAAAATCTAAAAATAAATTATTTTTTTTAAAAAAAATACAATCTACATCAATTTTCTAAGGAATCGATGTAAATTTATGCATTAATTTACATCAATTTTCCTGAGAACCGATATAAATTTATATATAAATCTACATCAATTTTTCATAGAACCAATGTAAATTTATACACAAATTTACATTGTTCTCAGGAAAATCAATGTAAAATATGCATAATCTACATCGGTTTCAAAATCGATGTAGAAGTGTATACATTTTCTAAGTTGCTTTATTCTACATCAGTTTTAGTTAATGCATAGATGGCTTCGCAGAACTGATGTAGTTAATGCATCCTGTAGTAGTGTTTAAGAAAAGTATGTTGTAAGGAAGTAAACTAAAACTCCTAAAAAAAAGCATGAAATGTAATTTAATATCCTCGTTATCACAAATATCACAACTCTCCCTTCAACCAACTAGACTCCTCCAAAAAATAAGTCTCTTACAATCACATATAAAACAACCACAAGAAAAATAAGGGAGTGAGAATATAACTCATTCCGACTACCGATGTAGAATAAGGCTAGGTAGTCACACACAAACAATATATATAAAAAACAATGGTTAAACTTAGTGTACATCTCATTGGTTAAACTTAGTGTACATCTCATTCCATCACTATATCAACCAATACTTTTGTTCTCCCATGTGCCCAAGCAATGTACAATACTTTTGTTGAACATATGTAAGAAGAAATGTAAAAGTGAAAACTAACATAATCAAATCCATGATCTCAAAATTTTTTATACCACCACTAGATTATTAATTTTATATATTTATATAGTGACACATAATATATATTTTAAAATTTAAATATATATAT